ATAATAATAATAATAATAATAATAATAATAATAATAATAATAATAATAATAATAATAATAATAATAATAATAATAATAATAATAATAATAATAATAATAATAATAATAATAATAATAATAATAATAATAATAATAATAATAATAATAATAATAATAATAATAATAATAATAATAATAATAATAATAATAATAATAATAATAATAATAATAATAATAATAATAATAATAATAATAATAATAATATTAATAATAATAATAATAATAATAATAATAATAATAATAATAATAATAATAATAATAATAATAATAATAATAATAATAATAATAATAATAATAATAATAATAATAATAATAATAATAATAATAATAATAATAATAATAATAATAATAATAATAATAATAATAATAATAATAATAATAATAATAATAATAATAATAATAATAATAATAATAATAATAATAATAATAATAATAATAATAATAATAATAATAATAATAATAATAATAATAATAATAATAATAATAATAATAATAATAATAATAATACTCTCCCTAATTCACCCCCTTACGAGTGAATTTTAACCCCAAAAGCTGAGCTTGTCCGGGGAAAGGGACGGATATTATTATTATTTGCCGTGGCGCTCCGGGGCGACTTAAAGATGATTGATGGTGCCATTTGACTTACAGGTGAGGAAAACCCGGAAAACCTCACCCACCATCATCGAGACGGTAATGTATGGCGAATTTTTTTAATCTGCATGTCATATCAACAGAAATTGAATTTCTATTAATACGCCACACATCAAATCCTAAGCCGAACCATGCAATTTAATTAAAAATCCACATGGTCTGGTCTGGGATTCGAAACCCAGCAGTCTCAGACTCATAAACTTGCCTATAAATGAATATAAGCGCGATAGACCGCTACACCACCGTGCCCGACACATTCTATACATTCTATACATTCTATACATTCTATACATTCTATACATTCTATACATTCTATACATTCTATACATTCTATACATTCTATACATTCTATACATTCTATACATTCTATACATTCTATACATTCTATACATTCTATACATTCTATACATTCTATACATTCTATACATTCTATACATTCTATACATTCTATACATTCTATACATTCTATACATTCTATACATTCTATACATTCTATACATTCTATACATTTTATACATTTTATACATTCTATACATTCTATACATTCTATACATTCTATACATTCTATACATTCTATACATTCTATACATTCTATACATTCTATACATTCTATACATTCTATACATTCTATACATTCTATACATTCTATACATTCTATACATTCTATACATTCTATACATTCTATACATTCTATACATTCTATACATTCTATACATTCTATACATTCTATACATTCTATACATTCTATACATTCTATACATTCTATACATTCTATACATTCTATACATTCTATACATTCTATACATTCTATACATTCTATACATTCTATACATTCTATACATTCTATACATTCTATACATTCTATACATTCTATACATTCTATACATTCTATACATTCTATACATTCTATACATTCTATACATTCTATACATTCTATACATTCTATACATTCTATACATTCTATACATTCTATACATTCTATACATTCTATACATTCTATACATTCTATACATTCTATACATTCTATACATTCTATACATTCTATACATTCTATACATTCTATACATTCTATACATTCTATACATTCTATACATTCTATACATTCTATACATTCTATACATTCTATACATTCTATACATTCTATACATTCTATACATTCTATACATTCTATACATTCTATACATTCTATACATTCTATACATTCTATACATTCTATACATTCTATACATTCTATACATTCTATACATTCTATACATTCTATACATTCTATACATTCTATACATTCTATACATTCTATACATTCTATACATTCTATACATTCTATACATTCTATACATTCTATACATTCTATACATTCTATACATTCTATACATTCTATACATTCTATACATTCTATACATTCTATACATTCTATACATTCTATACATTCTATACATTCTATACATTCTATACATTCTATACATATTGTACATTCTATACATTCTATTTTATACATTCTATTCTGTACATTCTATTCTATACATTCTATTCTATACATTCTATGCACTCTATACATTCTATAATAGTTATTGTTGGCGATAGCTATAACTATCTAATTTCATATTTTAACTATTTTTAAAATAATTGGTATTTATAGAACAGTTCACTCTTTCGTTTTAAATAATTACTTTACACTATATCGATTTCTACAACTATACCTGCTCAATAAAACCTTAATTCAAAAGTATATACGCACGCCCTTGTACCTAGGTACACCCAATCCCTGAAGTCAGTTCGTGTATGCACAGTAGAAACCTAAAACTTTCTATCTAAGCAGGCGATCATAAAATAATTAGTCAACAAACAAATTAAAGAGTTAAAAGTCCTTAATAATAAAATTTATTTAGTATTTTATGGCCGGTCATAAAACCGAGCATTTTTATGGACAAAACAGCCACCGGTATATATTTATATATCTAGGTATAAGTTTTAAATATCGTACCAACTTGTTCGTTTAATGATTAGGAGGTGTAACCGAATTAGAGATTAGGAATTAGGTTGTAGTTACCTGCGTGAAGTTAATCTTTAATGGTTTAAATTGTCTGTAAATTTAAACAGATTTGACAGTTTTAAATTAGTTTTTTTCGTCGTTGGTAGGCATCGGTCCAAGTATTCCTGTTAACACATTATAGGTGCCACAAGGTTCACATTTGGGACCAGTCTTGTTCAACAATTGAAGACCGCCCTGGAAGAACACTGTAACCAACAAAATATAATTTTTTCTGCTTGTTTCAACCCGGCTCCGACCGACCCTATTTACTTGTATTGCCGAAAAGGTCAGTTAATCCTATCCGTCAACAGGGCACTAAGATTATTAGAGTTGATTAACTTCATTAGGAATTACCCTACATTTAGTACCTATTATATTACTCATTTCAATTAACCCAATGGTCTTATTTTTTTTTTTTTTTATTTATTATCGATTTTTTCTTAGGTATTTTACATTTTCTAGGACATTTTATTTTCCTATTTTCCTGATTTCTATGGTTCTTGGTAAGCAAGCCTTGGGTTTAACTTTTAGGAAACTACAAATCCAACAGTACAGTCTGTTCGCTATACTTACGCGGATTTCGAATTAAAAATTTTATGAGTATTTTCAGGTAAGTACCCGAAAGTTTGACTTGTTCTTTGTTCTTTGTTCTTTTCTAACATAAAAATTTGTTCCATGTAGAGAATTTCAAATAAAAAATAAAAAAATTAAACTTGGCAAAAAAAATTGAAATTAATCATTAATCACCATTAATTGTTATTATGATTGGCCTTATTTCGTTTATTTTATTTTCACAAGTCCACCAATCTTCTATTAGTTTCTCGCACTTGGATATAAAGTTCCGCCACACTTCTGGAGTTGCAATTGAAAGTGCTTTTCGCCAAGTTTCCCGAACTGCGTCGTCACTATAACCATTAGGCCCAATATGGTTGTCATAATATTGTTTTGCTATTCCCCATACATATACGATGAGATTAAACTGGCAGACGTAAAACTTGATGACCGTAACTTTCAATAATCTGATCCACAACAAAGGTTTTTGGTTTTTCGTGTATATTTGCCAATCGTAATAATTCTGATTTTAATATATATTGAGGAAATGGTATATTATGTTCCTTTGTCAACCATTCTTTAATTTTATCAACAGTCCAAGAATTCGTCGGACTTTTGTTTAATACTTCAGAATGGTAAGGTGCGTGTCACTGGATTCTGATTTAGATGAATATATTAAATCAGTACCTTCTATAAAACCCGATTTCCCTCCTGCATATAAAATTATCTGTCACTTCCCTTTGTAGGGCTCATTAAAATCACATACAGTATTTTTAATTTTATTCCTTGGACATTCTGTATATAACAAAATTATCTTGTAATTTAAATAAAATGTCATATTGACAAAAGTAATAATTCATATTTATTTTTTTATTGATCACGTTGTTGTATGTTTTTCATATTGACTTTGATAAATAAAAAAGAATTGTTAAAAAAAAGAACGAATTTTTATCTTCATCTTGGTTGTGGCAAAGGACCCGTGCCACAACACCCTTCTCCATTGGTATGTTTGATGGACTTTACGTTATCATCTTGCCATATTCTCTTGGTTGCACCACTAGAAAATATCCATGTTTCGTCTAAATATATAAAATTCTTCTTTAAATTTAGAATATTTTCTTAGAAAGTTAATTCTCTTGTGCACGACAGAACTTCTTTCACAAAGGGCCTTTCTGTTATCCTCTTTTTGAAATTTGAAACCCAAGTTATGTATCACTTGCCATAGACTTGTTCTGCTGTCAATGTCGTCAAATTTTCTATCTATTAATTCCGAGAGAATTTTATTTAAGGTCACATGTTCCTTGTTGGCCCTCATTCGATAAATGGTATCACGAATTTCAAATTTATTGTTATTTTAATTTAAATCTGACCATTAGGGCAATTTTACCTAATTTCTTGTGAAGAGGCTTATTAGAACTGGTTGTCAATGACTAATTTGCATAATTTTGTTAATCCGAAACCCGCGTAAGTATAGCGAACAGACTGTAGCTGATAGGTCTTTAACTAATTTAGATCCGCTATCACCAATGTACTATAAAAGGATAGAGCAAACCTTAGAGTCCTAGAGCTTCGAAGGAATATCTGTTTATCTTTGACAGAAAAAGAAAATAATCCCGTCGTAGCATAGTTGAGTAGTTTGGACAACTGGTTAAAGATTTTGAAAGTCTTTATAGGGGCATACTTTGCAAATGCTTGGAGTATTTTCATTACTAGTTATGGAACGGTATAAATGAATAGACAATCAAACGGTAAAGAAAATGAATAAACACTAACAAATGTATAAGAATAAGAAGAATAATTAGACAATGAAAATTAGTGTAATCAATATAGGTATTAATAAATTATTAATATTTTAGAATGAATCAATAATATAGTGAAAATATAATAAAATCAAAATGAAAGATGTTTTAATTAGTTAAAAATAAATAGATTATGAACAAAAATGAACAATGAAATAGAATATACAAAGCAATAGGCCAACCTGTCTATTTAAAATTGAATTGACGAACCAAGAGATAAACGAAATGAAAAATAGGAATACATAGATAAAAAGATAATATTAAAGAGCAAAAAATATGGAGATAAATTGCAGACGAAGCAAATAAAATGAATTAAGCTAACCAACGGTTCCAATATAAATAATTTTTAATAATTCTACACGTTTTTCCACGATTTTTTTGTTTTGTCGGTTTCTACATCGCATTTTTTCAAATTTTGTTATACCAAATTACTCGAACGTTTAAACAGCATCCAACCGACAGGCGAATCTGAATTACCAGTTATTCGTTTATGAAAACATCGAAAATCTGACACGACGTCCATCAGCTCCAATCATCCTCCATCCAGCAGCAGCGCCGAAAAAAAACACAACGTAGACGACGATGACGTCGGGAAACCGAATAAATCTTTCAAAACGAAGTCGCCTTTGACGCGAACAAGCGATCGCATCGCCAAACACACCGCGACGCCGGCGACGCTGAAGAGTCGGAGGCATCGCGACGTCGACGTCTTCGGAGCGTCGCTGTCACGAGTTGACGGGTGGAGTGACTCGCGACGACGGCTTGGATGCGGCAGACGTCGGAAGTCGATGATGATGATGATCATGTTCTTTTTTCTATCGGGGTTTGTGGGAAATCGTGTCGGGATATGTTTGCGGGTCAGGCTGGAAAATAAAATCAATTTTCGATTGGTTTTGTTTGCATAAATAATATAAAACTTCATTTTTTTACGAAAGCTTTTCAATGTAGGAATTTTCACTTGGAAATATCGAAAAATTGAACTAATATAATAATAATACCAGATCTTCAACAATACTTGATACCCACGTGATCTGGTAGTCAAAGGGCCTGATTTAATTCCTTATATCGTCGGCTTACTGCCAAAATTTACCAAGTCAGAGATAAACAGTTTTAAACTAGTGAAACAGATAAACTAGTTTAAACTAGTGACCTAAAATCAAATGTTATAAATATCCAAACTTTTTTTAAATTAGTTATTAGCTTAGTCAATTTTTCCAGATATGGAGTAAATAGTTTTAAGTGATTTGGTCGATAAAAACAAAAATCTGATGTGTCCAACACATGACTTTCCTATCTAGTTATTATAGGCTTTTTCCGGTTATTTTGTACAACCTATTGCAGCATCTCTATAAATGTTTAGAGGATAAACTAAATATATACATTGTCCACATACATCTACCTCGAAACATTTTTCTATAGATATTCATGGAAAACGAAAATACTGAAAAATTAAAATTTCCTACAATTTTTTCATTACGGTCCATTTTAGAAAAATCATGTAAAAACAAAAATTATAGAGATCGATATCACAAACAACTTTTATTTCAAAAATTTTTATAAAAAATTATTTTTTTTTACATTTTGTCAAATTTCTCGAATACGGACCATTTTAGGAAATTTTTACATAAAACAAAAATTATAGATAATAATATTAGAAGTAACTTTTATTTGAAGAATTTTTTTCTCCAAACATTAATAACAGATATATTCCATAAAATATAAAAGTGGCCTCCCATAAAGTACCCCCCAGATGTTCCGACTATGTCTAAAATCTAATCATTTCACGTCAGGCCGAAATAAACCTTAAGTTTAAAATTTAATGTTTTTTTCTTTATCCGTTTTTGAGTTTTCTTCAAAATTCGAAGTTTACACATTTTCTCAAATATCTCGAATACGGTCCATTTTAAAAAAATTATGTATAGAATAAAAATTATAGAGAATTATATTACAAACAACTTTTATTTGAACAATTTTTATAAAAAATTATTTTTTTTACATTTTGTCAAATTTCTCGAATACGGACCATTTTAGGAAAATTTTGCATAGAACAAAAATTATAGATAATTATATTAGAAGTAACTTTTATTTGAAGAATTTTCTTCTCCAAATGTAAATAACAGATATATTCCATGAAATATAAAAATGACCACCTATAAAGTACCCCCCCAGATGTTCCGACTCTGCCCAAAATCTAATCAGCTCATTGGACGCTAAAACAAAGCTTAAGTTTAAAATTTGGTGTTTTTCTGTGTATCGGTTCATGAGTTATGCGTTATACAGACACACACACACACAGACACACACACACACACAGACACACACACACACACAGACACACACACACAGACACACACACACACACACACACACACACACACACACACACACACACACACACACACACACACACACACACACAGACATCATCGCGAAAATAGTCAAAACGGATTCAGGGGACCTCAAAACGTAAAAATCCGTCGAAAACTCGAGGTCGAAAAAAATCATGATTCCTATACTTTCCTTATATCTGTATACAGATAGGAAAGTAAAAATGAGATTTTTTTGACTTGGTCACTTTTGGCAGTAAGCCAACTATCGTTGTTAATACTGTCAAAAGTATCATTAGCGTTCATATGGGTATATTTATAGAATATTGATTTTTTTTGCATTTTGTCAACATGCTTTTATTCCATTTTTCATCGGATAATAATAAACCAATCAGTTCTTTTTAGAGCTCATTAGTGCCTTCAGTCTTTTCTGTCGATAGGTGTAAATTAATTTACTTTTATAAAAGTTTATTGACAATATAATTTTCAGTTAAAAATGTTTACATTGGAACAAGATTCTTTTATTTTAATGGCACATTTTGGAACTGAAACTCAAAATAATGATGAAACTTGGTCATACTTATTCAATTTAGGGTTGCATTCAACAATTTTTTTTTTTTTTGGGAAAAACACTCCATGATGGGCGTTTATTAATATTACAATCTGATCAAGAGTTAATTAATGAGTAATTTTGTTATAACCTAACTTTCTACTTGCTAGTATGCCTTAGGGTCTGATAACTTAATTACTCTGAACCAGGCCTGCACAACTCAGATTTTTAAAGGGCCGCCAAGAGAGGCCTGAGCCTACAATAGTCGGTTCAGATTTGTAAAAAAAATGTCGTCAGTTTATAATGTATTTGCTTAAAAAAAGGTCGTCACCCTAAATGCAAGTTACTGAAATAAATTAACGTAGGCGGGCCAAATTGGCCAACGGCCAGCGGGCCGCCAAAACAACACTGGCCGGGTCGTATGTTGTGCACCCCTGCTCTAAACTAACGTGTAACACCAAACCGCACAATGCTTTGTTTTGATATCAACAAAATCACTTGTCAGGTTCATGTTGTCAAGAAGCTGGATCGTCCTAGTGTACACATGTAGGTGGAGCCGTTGTTCGTGACTCCTAGCTAATCTGGTGATAGTCTGGGCAACATTGCATATCTGAAGGTCTCGATGAAAGTAGCTGTTTCTAATGTACCAAGGAGCATTGAGAATGTTCCTCAATTATTTGTTCTGGAATCTCTGGATTATTAGAATATTACTCTTGTTAGCACAACCCCAGAGCTAAATGCCATAAGTCCACTTTGGTATGAGAACTTGTTTATATAAAATAATTTTGTTATATGTGAATAGGCTGGAATGCCTATCAAGTAACCAATACATTTTCTTAAATTTTATATTCAACTCTTGTCTTTTCTTTTTAACATGGACTTTCCAACAAAGTCCTGCATCTAATGTAATATTAGGAATTTTGCTAAGTTAGCATAATTTATTTTTGATTCGTTTCATCTCTTTTACTGCTGGGTGGCGTTGTTAAGTTTGATTTTTTCTAATGGAGCTCTGATGTCATTTCCTCCTTAGTTTCCTGTTGTTCGCAGGACAGTGGATGAAGTATTATCCTATCTGCTTGCTGTATGTTGGACACAAGTAGTTCTATTTCTTCATCAAGCTATGCTGTTGTTCTTAACATAACTAAAAAATGCATTTGCCAATGGTCTTATTCATTCATTCTACCATTCCATCGGATTGTGGGTGCAATGCGGTGATTCTGGTTTTCTTTATGCCTAGTCTGTCACAGACTCCACGGAAGAGTTGGCTTTCAAGATTTCTGCCTTGGTCAATGTGGATCTCCAAGGGCACTCCAAATCGACAAATAAACTCTTTTATCAACACATCTGTAACAGTTGCGGCCTCTTGATTTGGAATAGCGTAGACTTCCACCCACTTCGTGAAATAAACCATAACCACCATCATGTATTTATTACCATTCTCTGAGCCAAATACGACTTAAGTACTGAAGAAAGATTAGATACTTCTTGCCAAGTAGGTCGACGATTTTCCTCTTTCCGTTGTCGCATCTTCTTTAAAATGGTATCGTTCTCTTGTTCTTCTCTAATTTTAGCAGGGGGCCACTCATCGTTGACTACAGTTGTTCTTAGTAGTTCACTTTCTTTGGATTCCGCTTTGTTGCAATGTCTTCCTTATGATGTCGTCCAGATACACCAGGCATGTTTTCCAGGATAACCTTTTCAATACATTTTCCATAAGTCCTTTAAATGTCGCGGGGGCATTACATAATCCAAATGGCATAACATTGAATTGCCACAATCTGGTGGTAAAAACTGTCTTTTCTTTGTCTACTGGGTCCATTTCCACCTGCCAGTATCCAGACTTCAAGTAGAGAATAGTTTACTTTCGGCCAATATGTCCAAGGTATCGTTGATACGAGGCAGATGAGAACCTCGTAGTTCCATCCTTTTTCTGAACCAGGATTATCGGAGAGACCCATGGGCTGGTAAAAGCTTCTATCACCCTGTCTTCCTTCATTTTCTGAACAATCCTTTCAACTTCTTCTCTCTTTAACTGTGACTGGTATAGATGCTTCAAATGTTCGTGACCATAT